GGTGTGTCCTCAGGTGATTCTGACTTTGTGAAATTTCTGCCTTAATTCCTTCAGGGTTCAGCCCTTGGTTTATATTAACCAGGCTCAAGCTCTCACAACTTCTTAGGCTATGCCCTTGTTCTGTGAAGCACATCTTCAAAGAGACACCTTCCCAGCAAGGAGCAGATGGTGGTGGCCTCAGGAAGCCTGAAAGGTCTCACCTTGGTAGAGTTTCAGATGAGACTCCACCCCTGGCCGGCACCTCAACCACAGCCAGGTGATTCCCCAGTCAGAGGCCTTCGACCCACAGAAATGGTGGGATAATAAACCTGTGTTGCTTTACACCTACGAGTTTGTGATCATATATCAACTAGCTGTCAATGACTGACCCAGGATTCATCAGAGGGCAGCTTCTAATTTTCTGTAGAAATTGTCTCAGAAAGTTGGGGGGGAGACCCACTTGAATAGCGACGGTCACCCTTAGGATAAAATCTACACTGAGGCCCTGACCTCAGTCCAGGCTTTCCCACCAGGGTTTGGCAGGGCTGGTCCACCTGCTTGGTGCCCTCCACTCCTCCTCCAAGATACCTCTCCAGCCCTGGCCCTTTCACTGTCTGCATCTGGGGCTATCTCTCATCAAACCCCAGACCAACAGGTGGCCAGCAGGTAATATGGAGGTTAAAGTGCTGAATCCCACATAGCCACCTGCTGGGTTCAAGTACTGGACCTGCAGGGTTTGAGTTCTGGACCAGGCAGCTTGAGAATCAAGCAGTGTGCATCTGTGGGCAGGGACTACTGCATGGCCATCCCCCCCTGAGGGCATGACTTCTCACTCTCCCCCCGCCCCGCCCCTGTGTGTGTCCTTCTCCGGCCAGCGCACTGTGTCCTATAGCAAAAACAAACAAACAAGCAAACAACAACAACAAAAAACAGACCTCTCCTGAGGTCCTCCCCTCTCCTCCAATCCCTTCCTCACTTCCCCATCCAACTTCTTCCCTCCCCTCTATCCCTTCTCCCATTCCCTCTCCCCTCTTTCCCCTCTTCAGTACTCCTCTCCCCTTTTCTCCTCTCCCCTCTCCCACACATTTCCTTTTTCTTTCCCTTGCTCCTCTCTCTCTCCCCCTCTCTTTAGCTCTGGGAGGCTGGGCCTCTGGTCTCTGGCTCTCAACCACAGCAGGAGCCACCCCCCCCCACCCCCCCCCCCCCAGCCGTTTCCATGGACATAGGCCCAACACAAACACGGGATGCTGCAGCTCCCCCTGCCAGCCCAAGACCCCCCACTTTCCTTGGCAATCTGCTAGGCCCCTCCCCCACTTCATCCACAGGGGTCCATTCCAGCAAAGCTGCCCAGCCAGGCTCTACTGCACTGCCCCCCTCCCAAGCTTCCCCTAACCTGGTTTGGCCAGCCATGATAGGAGACCTCCAGCCTAGAAGCCTCAGCCACCAGGAGGGGGGCTGTTACTATCCGCCCTAGCTCCCAAAGTGTGGATAGGGAAATTAAGACCCTGGAGCAGGATCAAAACCCTCCAAGACTGGGGCTGCCCCACAGCCTGTAAAGTGTGCCTGGTCCACAGGCTGCTTGCTCCTCCTGGAGCAGCTCTCTGAGCTCCTGGGACCCAGGACCACTCCTAGAGAGCTGATGATGCATGGCCTATTGCTACCTGGTGTCAGTCCACTGACCAGTGGATAGTAAGGTGGCAGGGAGCTTCTTGAAGGAGCACAGTGACTAAGTAGTGAACTGGGCAGGGGGCAGCAGGTAGCCCAGGAGCCAGTGTCATGGGAGGAGATGGGGGTCCTGGGTGCAGGTAGGGGACACTAAGAAGAAAATCAATGGTTGGGCAAAGGGAAGGGGCAACCTATCCCTACTTCATGGACAGGGGCAGGGCACCTACACACCCCTGTACACATGCTGCCCCATTCAATCTAGTCCATGCAAAGGCAGTAGCAAGCTTTCCCAGGTTCCCCACATGGTACAGAGTCATTGAGAGCCCCAGGGATGGAATGAGGCCCACCCAGGTGAATTGGGCCAGCTCAGTCCAGAAGGGAGCCAGGTCTGGGAGCAGAGTGTGTGAGTGTCAGGGAGGGAAAGCCCCAGGATCTGAGGCTTCCAGCAAGCCAGCCCATGGGGGCTATAGAGTGACATCCTGCCACCCTCATGCCTGCCCCCAACCTCCCAGCTTCCAGCACTCTGAACCTGGGCCCTCCTGGATGGCTCCTCCTCCCCCATTTTGACCACAGCTCCCTCAGGGTCTGCTCCATGAGCAAGGCTCATGCAGACAATGAGAACAATCCCCCCAGGGTCCCCCGACATGGGCCCACCAAAGCCTGTCCAGGTGCTTAAGGAACCGGCCTCAGTCTTTCTATCCTCCTGCCTTCTCTCCCTCCTCCCCCTCTTCATCTTCCTCTCTCTCCCCTCCTCTCTTTCCTCTTCCTCTTCTCTCTCTCCTTCCCCCTCCCTATCTACTTCTCCCCCCTCTTCCTCCTCCCCACCTTCATCCTCAGCCTCTGAAATCAGCCTGGAAGGCTAGGCAGGATCCTGCCCAATACCTTCCTACTGCACATGCAGGGCCCTTTCGAGACATTACCTAACCTCGCCTTCTTACCTAATCCCCCAGCCATCTCCCGCCTGCCCACAAGGGAGGGGAGCCAGACGCCTGTACCGGGCCCAGCAGGGCTAGTGGAGCTGCTAGGGGCCCAGCCAGCCTGGATCTGGTGCCCAGGCCTGCCTCTGGCCACCTGTGTGTCCTGGTCCTGCCTCCCCACCTGCCAACAGCACCTGAGGCTGCTTGGCCAGAAGCAGCTCTGAGCCCTATGGGGCTCTTCTCTTCATCTGTCCTCCTTACCTCAGCTGACCTTGCCAGCAAGCCAGAACAGAACCCTCTTGTCCAAGAACAACTTACCTGTTCCAGGCAGCTGAGAAGCCCCTGGTGTCCTCCACGATGTCTCTATCAACCCATGTGTGTGGTCAGACCAAGTGTCTTTGCTGCCTTTGCATCAGGCTCAGAGCCGGTGGGAGCTTGTTAGTGGCAGAAGGTGGGATGGGGGAGGGATCAGACCTTCTTTACATGAAGGCAAGGCAAGGCAGGCAGCCAGAAAGGAAGTGAAGTACTGCCCAGCACCATGTCTCCACAGTACTCATACACATTCATGCACACATACACATATGCACATGCATACACACATGGACACAGCCACATACACAAGCATGCATATACATGCACTCAAATACTTGAATGCATGCAAAAACACATGTAGATACAGACATATGCATACCAATACACACAGATACACAAACCTGACTATACCCACCCACCCACACACACACACACACACACACACATATATGCAATTGTAAGGATCCAGCCATGCAGACACACTCTGTCTAAACACATGCAGGGCTTCCTTGTAGTACCACGAACTCATGCATATGAACACATAGACACACTACATGTATGTACACATACATATGGATACAGACGCAAGGGCCCAGCCATACATAGATTCACTCAAATAAGTATAAATATACTTGAAAGCATATTTGGAAGAAAAACACAAAATAGGTAGACCTTTCAGACACACAAAAAGCCCTTATGTGCACAAATGTGCTTGCACACACATGCATGTCCTTGGACACAGATACATAGACCTAGCTACAAACATGCTCATACACACACATGCATGCGCACCGACACAGACCCCCTGAAAGATTGGTCAGATGCCAAACAGCATTCACCACACACAGGAGATCCAGCCCACACAGCTAGCACCCAGCTGTGGAAAAGGCTTCTTGTGGTGGGTGGGGGAGTTCTGCACTCCCTAGCCAGAGGAGGGTTAGCTATGTACCATGGCCTTCTCTCCTAGGCAGCCTGGCCCTGACCCATCTGCAGCCTCCACCAGGACTGGATTCTGCTATAGTTTCAGCCACCATCACCCAGGAAGAATGGACCCATTCAGGCCAACCTGCCCAACCTGGTGGGCGGGACCTCCCAGCCCCCTCCTGCCTTGGTGCAAAGATCTGAGTTTCCCCACCCCCCTCAGAAACAGTCAGTGCCCCCAAAGGAGGCCTCAGCTCAGTCTGGGTCCCTCACTCATCCAACCATCCCACAGCTGCAGAGGTTGAGGGTAAGGATTCAGCTCCAGGAGGACCCCTTGGCCTCTTCTTAGACACAATGTCCACAGGTCCGGAAAGAGAGCTTTGACCATCCAATCAAGCAGATAATCCCACATTCCTCAGTGGGCAACCTACCCTTCCCAGGGGAGGGGGGGGTTGAGGTGGGGGCAGACCCTGGGATCCAGGGGACACAGAAGGACAAAAAGTGGCAGAAGAGGGGCTCCCAGTAGGACATGCCACGGCGGTGGAGGGTCCCATGAGGCAGGCTCAAGGAGGGACAGAGGTAAGGAGGAGGGCTGACAGCCCAGTTCACTCAAGAGAGTCGTCAGGAAGAGAGACACGTCACACCCGGGAGACCCCAGACTCAAGGCAGGACTATAGGACCACATTAGGGGCCCAGCACTATGAAAAGTAAGGATTCACCTCACATGCAGGGCTGTAAGCAGAGTGAGGCTAGCAGGAACAGAGTTGGACAATCTGGGAAGAGGGTGACACTCAGGGAGCAGATTGGGCAGGGCTTCCAGGTAGTGCCACTTAGGGAACAAACTGGGTAGGGCTTCCTTGTAGTACCACGAACTTCGCCAAGCCTGGACATGGAGGCGAAGAGAGAGACTGGGGCCGGTTGGGCACCCACACAGTCTGGGGACATCCGGCTGCTAAGAGTTCCCAGTGACTCTGAAAGTTGGGGCTTCACCCCAGGACTCTCCTCCCCAACCCCCTCCTTGGTCCCTTCTCACCTCCCAGGTATTCCCCCTTTTCCATCCCTGTGACTGCCTTCCTCTCAAATTCTCTTCTTCCTATCTGGGACCTCCCTCTTTCTCCCCCAGGACCTTCCTCCCCCTCCTCCTCCTCTAGATTCTCCTCCCAGGCCCACAAGAACCCCTGTGAAAGCAGAAAACTGAGTGGGGTTATAATTTAAAATACATTTATTTAGTGTTTCATTTGTTTCTGGTTTTGTTATACAAAGCTGTTAAATAAATACATTCTCCACAGTCACTCGGGTACACACCTACTCACTACACAGATGAGGTAGAGAAATCAATAGGCTCACACAAGACTGAACACAAACATCAGGGTTCTTTGTGTGTCGACATCCCTCTTCCCCAGCCCCTGCCTGATCAGGGCCAGCAGCAGGCCCTGGAGTCCAGGTCCCCCCATGGTGGTAGCCAGTAGAGAGAGGTGGCTGGGACCACCTGGCATTGCAGCATGGCCACTGCTGCAACATGCCGGTGGCCAAGGAGACTAGAGGACCCCTGCTCACTCCATGCCCCACCACAGAACACTTTCTTCTACTCTGCCACACGGAAGAAAAGCACATTAAATAAGGCTCCAGCAGTCAGGAGTTGCTTCTTCATTTAGCAAGACATTCTAATATATATTTATGTAGAAACAAACCAGCCAGCAGACATTTTCAGTCTGCCTTGTTTAAAAAAATATTTTTTAATATTTATGACATAGAGCTAAATGTGGTATTCAATAAAAAAATATCCTTCCTCTGACCTGACGCCTTTCCACAGACCCAATAGTGACTGAGCTACAGTCTTGTCATGAAAGCATGGCCGGCTCTGCCACTTGGGACTCCAGAGGAGAGTGTGGACATTTAGAAAGAGCATGGATGCACCTCCTCCTCCAGCTCGCCAGCCCACCTCAACCCCCTCTAGCCAGATCTGCAGAAAACTGAGGAGCAAACCCAAGGTCCTCCTGCTGACAGCTATCGTCCACTGCCACCCAGATCCCCTTTCTGGGAATGAAACTCCTGCATGGCCCTCTCAGCATGTGATAATTGGTGGGGATGTTCTCTGAACCACAGGAGAATAAAGGTTACTATTTACACTACCTAACAGGGACAACAAAGACCCACATCAGCATAAATAGATTTTCTTTTAGAAATAGTCCCCCAGCTTCCTGGAGATCCTGGGGCTCCAAGAAACCTGCTCACTCAGTAGTTCCCATCCACACCTGCAATCCACCTAGACCCCAGCCCACACGCACTAGGCAGGGGCCAGAAGGAGCCCATGGCCAGAGGCTCTGGGAGCCAAAGGCTGCTGTTCACACTGAATTGGGAAGAAGAGCCACAGCAAGGTGCTCTGAGGAAGGGCACAGCCCAGCTGCCCACTGACCACACCAGCATAGCAGGCACACACATACACATGCTGTGCACACATGCACGCTCACAAATGCGCGCACACACACACACACACACACACACACACACACACTCAAACCACACCAGGTCAGTGTAGGTCACCCTTCCCCCTGAAAAGACAACAGCACAGCCCAAAAGAAAGGTATTCTGTTGCCAAATCCTAGCTGGAAACTCTCTCCACTACCTATGTCCCCACGTTGCCTCCTCTTAGTGACACTGAGCAAGTGTGGCTCCCTCGGGAAATGAGCTGTTCAAGAGGGCTGGCCCTGATCCCTCATCATGCCCACTTTTCTACCACCCCCCAGCCCTAGAATCTACATCAAGCAACCCGGATCCAGGGCCATCTGCCCATGGGGTGCAGAGCAGGGACTTAGGTGACTGGGGGCACCTGGATAGCCACACAGCATTGCCCTGTTGGCACAGAGGAAGTTGGCTTCAGAAGCCCTGATGTCTATGGCCAGACACAGTTTCTTTCTTTCTTTCTTTAACAATGACTACCTTGATTTAGTGGTTTTAAACGACCAAGCAGATCAGAGGCAAACAGGGTTAGGAGGGAGTATGTGGAGGAGGAAAGAAGGGGCCTTCTCAGACAGAGGCTCAGCCAAGACAGATGGCCTGGGAGATGGCGGGAACAGAGAAAATAATAATTATTATATTAGTTAAATAATAATAATAATTTAAAAGTCACTGATATTCACTCCAAAGAGAAGTGCTCAACGTTAGAGAGGGATGGCAGTATCCCTGAGCCCAGGTAACTGGCGGCCGGGCCCTAGGGACAGTGCAGGCTGCATACTCTCCTAGTGGTTTGACTCTCTGAAGACAGTGCTGGTGCTGGGACAGCCTGGGCCAGGCTTGTCCCCCATGGGCAGCCCACACAGAGGCCACATGGTCACAAAGGTGCACCCACCATCCCCGCCTTAGAGGGAGATCAGAGGCAGGGAGGGGCAGTCAACAGACTGGGGAGGAGGCAGCAGCACCTCCAAGTGCTCCTCCCTGGGGTCTGGCAGATTAGGGGTGGGAGAAAGCTCAGAAAGCATTGGTGCAACGCTCTCGGGTCGGGAGAAGCTGAGGCCCAGGGCACAAGCAGAGTGGGTGGGGAGGCCAGTCCAGAGTCAGCTCTGCCTCTGGGCCCCTGAGAGAGGAAACAAAAGGGCTTAGACAGCCAGCCCAGAGGACCCCAGGCCCCTTGCCTCAGCTGTGTACCCCAACATGCTAGGGGTGCCCTTCAGTTTTTGCAGGTGAAATCCCTCTCCCTGTGTGAAATACCTGTACCCACACAGCAGCACTAGCCTGGCCCTAGGGCTCAGCCCTTGCATATATTGACCCCTCCAACAGTGTGCAGTGCCTACACCCCACGCAGCAGTGCTGGTCAGCTCCAGGGCCTCAGCCCTTGCAGGCATGGGCCCCCCTCACTGTGTGCAATGCCTGTACCCCATGCAACAGTGCTGGCCCAGTCCAAGGGCTCAGCCCTTGCAGGTGTAGACCCCTCTCATTGTGTGCAATGTCCGCACTCCACATGGCAGTGCTGGTCAGCTCCAGGGGCTCAGCCCTTGCAGGTGTAGACCTCCTCACGTTGTGTGCACTGCCTGCACTCCACATAGCAGCACCAGCGCACCTGGCACTGGCAGGGCCTTGTCACCACACGGCTCTGTGTGTTGTGGCCACGGCCACAGCAGATACTCTCACAGTTCTTCTCACGGTGGCATCTGCGGCCAGCGGTGCCTGGAGAGAAGCGGCCAGCCAAGCAGAAACTGGGAGAGTCATCTAGGTGCACAAGTTCTGGTGTGCGTGGTAGCGGGTCACTGCCACCCATCCCTGAAGCCCGGCCCCGTGGCGGGGGGATGGCTCCTGCCCCCCCA